CCTTAGCCTGCCTCTCCCTCGGCGAGAGTTTTAAAAACTGGGAGCACTTCGACACGTAGTGAGACTCCTTACAAACGGGGCAATCGGACGCGTTAGTCACGAACGAAGAGACCGGTGTGGACTTGGTTTTGGAGGACGGGCCCGCGACGGCCTCGAGAACCCGACAATGCTCCGCTAGAAATTTCGTGAGTTGTGTATATCGCGGTATCTCCTCAGCCCGGTGAGCCGACTCGAATTTTTCCCGAAGGAAACGAGGAAGCTTGTCTAACAAAAACTTCAGTAGGATAAAGTCCCATGAATCGGTAGGGAAATTCATCAATGCGAGCGCGCGCGTGTTCTCGGTAAACGTATCTAATAAGTGGTGAAGAGCCTCGGCCATCTCCGCCTTCAATGGCTTTGCCTCGATTATCGAATTCAAGTGATGGTCCGCTAACCTTCTCTTATTCCGGTATCGATCGACCAGCGAGTCGTAAGCGATCAGATAGTACTCATCGGAAAACGGCAGGTTTTTCACCACATTGAGTGGTTCCCCTTTGAGTGAAGCCAGCAGATACTGGTATTTCTCTATCGCGGAAATCTGCTGGTTGTGTATCGACGCGTTGAACAACGCGATGAAGGAAGGCCACAACGTAAGGTCGCCGGAAAACTGCGGTAGCGGGATCTTAGGCAACTTGACCACCGAGGCCTGACCCGAGGGCTGTGCCGGCGCGCCTCCGAATGGCGTTTCACGGCCCGTTTCACGGTGATATCGACTCTTTACGGCGTAATGCATTTTATCGAAACTGGCTCGGATTTCGTCCTCGACCTCGAAATCCGCCGCTTCTTGGATGACCTTCAGGTGGGTGGCCTCAAAATCGTCCGCGATCTTCGCTACGCTCGAGTAGCGAGCGTGGAAGGTCGCTCGTATTGCCGCGTCGGTCGCGGCTTGTAGGGAGAGGTCGTGTAATTCTTGCATACGCCGATTGCATACTTCGCGACGAGCATATGCGTTTTTCGACATGATGTAACAAAGGGGTCGTCCACCACAGACAGACGAAGCTAAGAGCGAAGGGTAAACGACGAATAGGCAGTCGGAGGCGACGGCAACTCGAACCAACAATATCGAAACCCGGCGAAAACAATCACGAAAGTCAGGTCGCCAAGGTGAGGGGTAACGGACGGCTCCGTTCGGCGCTCGCGCAAGTCCCGAGGGAATATTCTCGATAATATTCCTCGAGTTGAACGCGGAGAATATCAGCCGTTGGATTAGCGCGATAAACACGCGTCGCAGAGTTCGAAAGGCAAATATTCTCGATCGGTGACAATAATATTTTCGAGCGATGGTACTCTCGGACGGATCACGAATGTCGGGATAATACAAGTGCTGGGTCGGGCGGTCCGTACCTCGCAACGACGTAAACACGAGCGATGCTCGAGACTATACAGAAACAACGCGCGCGAGACCGGCCCGTAATCGAAGGCCACGGCCGTTGTCTCTATGCGCGAAAGTATCGCTGGCCCGGAATACTCGGATATTCGACCGAATATTTCGGTTACGATCAAGTCAATTAAATGGCGACTAATTACCGCGGCGAGCGCGGATTCGATTTTAAGGCGATTAACGGCTGCGGCCCAAGCTATGACGAACGAAGTTCGCACGCGTATTCCCGTTGCGAAGCTAGCGTTGCACGAGAGATACCGCGCGAGACACGAGTTGTCAGCACGCCGAGCGTTATTGCACCTCGTTAATGCGAGAATAAGAAATTCAGCGAATTGGCGTAAATTACAGGCGGCTAATGGCCGATTGCGCGATGCTACGCGAGAATTCCCTTCGCGAAGCGAGCGTTGCGATACGGGAGATCCTGCGAGACCCACAAGGTCACGAGCTATGGCACTACGCGTTACAGAAAGATTCGGTGACTTAGAACAATGAAAGGACACGCGAAAGGTCGGCGGTAATAGACTAATCGCGAAGATATGAAATCCGGCTCGAAGGACCAGATGCTCGGGGGGCGGTAGAGCCGTACCCGGATTTGCGATAAAGCGAAGCTCGAAGGACCAGGGGGTGTAAGTCTCCCCCAAAGCGAGTTATTTTAAGCAAATGCGACTCACCGTTCGTTGTGCCGTCGACTCCTGGATGCTTCGGCTCGGTCGCGATCGGGCTCGTGCAGCAGCGCAAGCAGGGCAGCAAGCAGGGCGAAAGCGAGGCAGGCAGCAGTAAGTTAAGGCAGGCAGCAAGCAAGCAGGAGGAAGCAGGCAAAGGCAGTACACAAACAGGCCGAGAAAGTAGGCGATCGCACTATCCGGGAGCGAACGGATGATCTCGCGACTCCGGATATTAGCGCAAGTCTCTCTGCCCCGATAACCTCTCTGTGCTCCGTTAATCTCTCTGTGCTCCGAGACGTCGTAACGATGAGTGCCGAGAGCTCGCGGCGCTGGAACAGTGTCGCGAGCGAGTACTTGTTCTTCAGGCGGGTGCCCTCGTGGGGTGAGCGAGGGCAGCACCGATTGGTGAGTCGCGCGATTATCGATTCCGCGTTGATCGCGATCCGCCGACGTTTCACGCGAGTCACCGAAATACTTAAGACTAGGTACGCAAGAATACTATGTACAACGTGTAACGAGACTAAACAATTAAGTATGATACATGCATCTATCTACAGTTTGGTGAGCGCCAAACAATCTCTTTAAATTACAGCGCTAATTACAGAGAGAACATATATATTGCCTCAAAAAATAATTGTTGCACTACTTTGAAAAATCTTTAAATTGTGTTTAAATTTAACAAGGAAATACAAGATATTTAAATACAAAGTTTACATGTGTATTTTTTAGTGGTCACAAAAAATTACAGAGGTAACAGTACAAAATAAAAATATTTTATTAAAATACATAAATTTTTCTTGTAAAAAAACTTGGCGCTGCTAGACCTCGAAATTTTAACCTTCCGATTTCTACCAACGCTTATTCACTCACGACATGTCAGAGCGACAGATACATTTTAACACTGCGACTTACTGGTCTGTAATGATCCGTAAGCAAGAATTCGTGATTGTAATTTTAATACTAATACATCGCGTTTTTTAACATACTAGACACTACAGACGCGCGCTACGCGCGCGCTATTTATCTTTAACATTTCACTATTAACCCTATTATACACAACTGTCAAAATATACAATGACAGCTGCAAATGAAGTAAGCGCAGCAAGAAAACCAATCGGCATCGCGGAAAAGCGGCAACAATAAACTTCACATCTCCTTTTTAGAAAAGGATTGCGACTCCGATTCACGGTTTAGAAAGGACAATCGAATCTCTCCT